GCTGCCTTTGCGAGTTTACGAAACGTATGGAGAATCAACCAGATAAGTCAACGCACCAAAATCCGAATTTTCAACTCGAACGTGAAATCTGTGTTGTTATACGCCAGCGAGACGTGGTGTGTATCAGCGGAGAACACTCAAAAGCTGCAGGTCTTCATCAACCGATGCCTGCGGTATATAATTCGTGCCTGGTGGCCTCACAACTGGATCTCGAATGCCGAGCTCCATCGTCGATGTCATCAGAAGCCGATAGCAACAGAAATTCGAGAGCGAAAGTGGAGGTGGGTCGGCCACACACTTCGACGGGGCGGAAACGAAATCTGCAAGCAAGCGCTGGATTGGAATCCAGCAGGACATCGCAGCAGAGGCAGACCCAGGGGCTCATGGCGGCGGAGCCTCAATAAGGAAATTAAGCAAGCCGATAGAAATCTGACCTGGGCCCAGGTCAAGACAAAAACGAGCAGCCGCCCAGGATGGAAGTCTTTCACGTTGGCCCTTTGCACCGCTGGTGGTGCACAGGACCCTTAAGTAAGTAAGTAAGCTGTGGTCTTCTGAGAAAGTTTGGAGAGTACAAACAACGGTCAAAGGGCGTAAAATACTATCGACTAGTGTAATCAGGGCGATAATGAAACGAAGGAGCTAGGAAGCGTGAAATACTCCTGAGAGCGTTGACGAATTACATTTAGGTTCAGTGAAATTCGGCAGGATCTGCCAATTTCAGAGCTGTTTAGAAGACTTCAGAGAGGTTCAGACCCCCAGATACTTTCTGGGAACTCCACTAACGTTCTGCAAGTTTTAGGGACCTTCGAAAAATTCCATCAAGCACCAGAGCATTATTTCAATGATTACATTAAAAAAAAAACTTCTTTAGCCGTTTGTTATTAAGTTAAGTTGGGATCAATTTGACCCTAGACCACTTTGAAAGGCGGTATTTTTTTTTATTGAAATCATTTTGTAATCAAAATTTTATTTAAATAAGATCAATTTAGTTGTATTTTTTGTTGACTTCTGCTTGCCAAAAAATCAATTGTTCTCTAATACCCCGTTCACATTACAGCTTATATCACGTAATATAGGCTGTCTTGCAATGAGCACTCATACATAGGATTTCCAGTGAAAACTAGATGTATGAGTGCTCATTGCAAGACAGCGTATATCACGTGATATACGCTGTAATGTGAACGGGGTATAAAATTGTAATTTGTAAAACGTATAATTTTCAAATGTTAATTCAGTTGCCACCCTGACCATATCATTCATTGCATTTTATGACTATAGATCACATGCAGTCACAACTACTAAATGGTGAGCAGCGGGCAAAACCCAACGGCATTCTGTTTCACGAATTTTTTTACCTATACATATGTATCTCAGACCACTTGAAACCAGTGGCTAGAAATAAGTACGATTTTGGCCATTTTGGGTCAATTTTTTTTCCCACTGTACATCAATGAACTTGATGGTTGGGGAGAGTGGAATTGTCAACTCTCTGTTGTTAACATTTCGTGAATGGAAGGTGGATTCTTCTCCTCACTCATTAGGACATCCACTCGTATGATGGCTTGTTCTGTATCGGGTTGGAACATTTTTATCATTGGAAGCAGATTCTTCTTGCTCCGCATCTTTGCTTACGGGTCCATCCTCCGTTTTTTTGGCCCTTAATACAATGGTAAATTGAATACAATCAGGTATCGTACTTGATCAAGTCATACGAGGTGGACTTGATAGTCCACTGTCTAATGGCTGTGCCTTGCAACAATGAGTGGTATCCTTTACATACATCAAGGGGTATTCAACTCTGCACACGTTAATTCGTGCCCAGTGATTCAGCTGTGCCTAGCGCTGTGCCGAACGTGTCTATCAGGGTCAATCAAAGCATGCCTATCAAGGTGTCAATATTCCATGAGTTTGGCAACCCTGAAAGTTATTATTGTGTTTACATTCTCTATTTCTCTGATGGATCATGGCAGGCATTATCATTAGAACGTTAGCGGAATGGGAGGCGGAGGAGTAACTGGAAGCCACCAAACCTATAGGGTGTTCATCTAGGTGTTCAAGCAAATTCATCGCATCCATAAAATTCTGTCTCGATGTTCCGTTAAACTGTTGATTCCTTGCAGGTGTACAGGAGCAAAGGAGAAACCCGATCGATGATGAATGAAATTTCTGTCTATTAAATCCTCCCCGACTAAAGTAAACCCAGAACTCAGAGAGTTCAATCCCACCCTAGGAGTAAATCATCTGATCGACTCAGAAGTGCTGGTCCTCAAAGATATCACCCAAGTGTATCGTATCGCTGATTATGATGCCTTCTACCACCTCCTCATTACACACCACCATCCGTTCAAGCCTACCAAGCAGTTGTGGTTCCTACTGCAATGTATCATCGATTAAAACTATCAAACATCTACCCCTTAAGCTGTACCAACAATCAATACGAAACTAACGATTTTAAATTGGCTCCCCACTTTAGTAGCCTATTGGTCCCAAGCAAACGATTAACGTACCCTATTCTAGTTGAAATTCTATTACTACACTATGTTTGTTTTGATTCGCTATGAAAGTTTGACAGATAACATCAGGGGTGTGTGGATTCATGCAGAACATGCAGGGGTGAGTGAAATAGCTTGGGACTGCTTGGGACCGTTGTTCTGGTACTGAGTGAGCCAAAAATAATAATGATTTTCTTCGGGACCCAGTGGTCTTAGAGTTACCTCTATGGCTGTACTCTCTTCGGTCCCAAGCTAATCGATGCGCCCCTCGAAATATAGAAAAATCCACGAGCCCCTCATTTTATCTGTCAAACTTTCATAGTGAATCAAAACAAACATAGTGTAGTACTAGAATTTCGACTAGAATAGGGTACGTTAAACGATTTGCTTGGGACCAATAGGCTAGTCAAGTAGTGAGCCAATTTAAAATCGTTAGTTTCCACCGGTTGGTAGTACTAATTGTTTAGTTAAAAAATAAGAACCTATTCTGGAATAAAGCCTCCAGTATGAGGCTTTTGGGTAAAGCATGTGGACAAGAATGTGGGCAGGGTGGTGAACTTTTCCAATACTAAATGTGAGGATTCATCGATGCTCACCGCTCCAAATATAAATCCGATCGTCGTTGGATGCATGATATTAATCTTTTCGTACGAATAACAGCATAGTGTAGGTGTTCCACCATCTCTGTTGTTTGTGTGGCCTTCCAAATGTATCATCAAAGGAAACCGTCTGGCACGAATGGTCACTAGAGGTAATGGAGGTAATCCGTTTCAGCCGTCTTGACTGCCGTGTCGACAAGACACTCTAGCCTGGCCATGGTGTGGATGAACTCGATTGAAGTTAGGCCCGAATAGTAGCTGTTTAGATGAAAACACGAACCGCTGGGATTTTCGCTGTGATTCAGAAGAGACGGATTTTGCTAGATCTGAAGAGATTCACGATTCAGAGAATAGTTACAGAATTTGTCCAACGATCCTCAAAATCGGTGGATTGTTGTTTCACTAGTTTTAACAGCAACAAAATTCTCTCACTAGCTTCATTTTTGAGTAAACAAACTATTCAACCGAGTAGTAAACATTGGCAACGATTTGCGAAACGTCAACACTCAACAGTGATGGCAATTTATATTATGTTATATGTGTCCTACTTGTCAAAGTGTGCTTTAGCGTGTCGAACAGTTTGACATGCTGTGTTTAGGCACAGTGTGCGGAGTTGATTACCCCTTGACATAACCTCAGATAACTAGATGAACCATAAAGAGCCAAAGGGGTACAAGTCGTTTTAAGAGGTTTTAAGTAAATTATAGAGAGGAGACCATTATTCAAAATACTCGAAACAATAATTATAATTCCCTAGATAAACTCCCGAACTCACCGATGCACAGCATACATACTCTCTAATTTACTTAAAACGACTTGTACCCCTTTGGATCTAGTTATCTGATCACGCCCAATGTGTTACCCTTTCAAAATAAGCTTCCCAATGAAACAACGAAAAACTTCATCTCGAATAAAATTGAAACCTCAATCACCATCCACCCAATTTCCAATCGTTAGATCCGGCTCCAGCTGCACAAAACTGGCCATCTACATCTCGAAAATCATCGTCTATTGTTCATAAAAACTGCATTTTGCACTCATTCTTCCAAACCGAAGAACTCAACTTAACACCGCATAAAATTTACCCGAAACTGAACCACTTCGTCTCGAGAAAGCAATCTTCAATAATAAAAATAAATGACTGTGGCTATTCATGAGCTGCTGCTGCTACTGTCATTCCCTAGAAGTGCACCAGCCAATTTCGCCGACCAGAAGTGATTCTCCCCGGATCTCTGTTTGCTCGCCCCATTTGCTGTGCTGAAATATCAGGTGCTTTTCCGTCGCAAAAGTAGAATCGTTTTCTGTTGCATTTCCGACTGTCGCTTTTTCCGTCGTAGGGTTTCGATTCAATTTTCGGCCCAGTAAGCGCAACCCGTAATTTACCGCTCTTTTTTGAAAAATGAAGATGATTCAGCTGCAAACACACTCCTTGATTCGTGTGCCATTCTGGATGCTAGATGAGTACCTCCTTTATCAAACTATGTGGCAGAAATAGCGCAAAATCTGTTTATAGAGCTGTGGCTATCAAAAGAGAAAGTCGATGAAGAGAATCGATCAAAGTCACTTACACTCCTTTCCTTCTAACCCCTCAATTAAAATATCGTACCAATCCGAATAGTTGAACCGCTATCGCCGAAATGATTTAATTATTTGATATTTTCTACCCGAAAGGACGAAAATGGGCGATTAGGCTGAAGTAAATGTTTACCCTAACACCATCCACTCGTAGCAAGAAAAAAGAACTATTTCAGAATGGGACTAGAGGAATGCAAGCTGACACTTGAAAGTTGGTAAACTCAGTATGCTTTGAATTTGATGTAGAGCTTTCACTCTTTTTCCTTCGCCATGACGCGATGACAAGGTCAAGAGCAGACATTTTCAACAAAGCATGCGTTTGTACTCGTTTCAGCCACTGCCACATCAGCAGCAACAAGCCAATTCGGCCTACTCCTACCACGGACAGCAATACCAGCAGCAGCAGCAGCAACAACAACAACAACAAGCTCAGCAACCCTACAGCAGATTCACGTCGCAGTTTGGAGCCGCATCCGCCGCCAATGGAGAACCACAGTACACTACGGTTCAGGATAACTACATCAACCCAAACATTCGGCAAGCCATCCAGCAGCAGCGTTTGTTGCAGCAACAGCAACAACAGCAGCAGCAGTATCAACCTCAGGCCCAACAGCAGCCACAACAGCAACAACAAGAACAACCGCAGCAACAGTACTACTCTCAGGAAGACATCACAGCTTACCTGCAAAGCCAACAGGTATGTTGAACTTTTTAATTCTTGCATGCGTTTTAAAGATATCAACTGAAACTGGAAAGGGACCGCAGCATGGGCAATACAGGGAACCTTTGACCTACAGGAAATTAATGTTGACCATCAATTGTCGTCAACCCGATTTCCCCTTAATTATTGTCAACGTTGCCTGAAGCATGGAAACATGGAAATGGAAACGTTCAACTCGTTCATACGCACTTTCTGACAAACCTCAAAACACTGTAATCGAAGCCATTTCCTATCTCTTATCAGTTAATAACCCACCATCACCCCCTTAACACCAGCTTTTACAAACCACTTACACACGATTTTCCAGCTATCGATCGAGAGAAGACACACCATTAATTAACCCCTTGACACACTTTTCACCCCACTTATGTCCCCTCCCCCTCCTCTAAGGCCGCCCAAGCCCAGTACTACGCCCAGCAGCAACCGCAAGCCAATCCCCAGTCCCAGTACGAGTACGTCCAGCAGCAACAGCAGCAGCAGCAACAGCAACAGCAACAGTATGATGCCACCCAACAACAACACCAACAGCAACAATCGCAGCAGCAGGATCCATCGGCCGATACCGCTCAGGCCACCCACAACAAGCTGATCGGAGTCGCCTTCTCGCCCTCGAACGAGGTGTCCCAGGTCAAGTTCAACGGCAACGGGCTCAAATACAACTTCTGAAGCATACTGGCAGCCCTGGCCGTGAACTGTTTCTGTCTATTGCTGTTCAACTTCTACGTGCGGAGGAGTTCGGAGCGGAAGGTTTGCGCTGTATGAACGTGCTGTAATTTATTAAATCTAGGAAGGGAAAAAGTTTTGTTTCTGTTTACATTTAATCGAAAAATCAACCACCTACGGAGATGGATAGAATCACGGAGAGACTGATGACGATGGAATAAAAAAATTGTTTTTGTTGAAAAGTATGAAAATAAGGAGTGGATAGTTTAATTCATCGCCATGGTGGGACGGAGAAAGTTTTCCCTGTGCTAAGTAATTTCTTACAGCTCGTAACTGTCTTGTACAGTTGGAAGAAGAAGCGGGGCAGCGAGGCGGGGATTATCGTTTTATCATAAATTACGAGTTTACAAGTCGAGAGTCTTGCTTTTGAAAGCTTTCGTCAGTAGGACGCTGGTTGCTAGATTGCTGTTGAATGCTATCCAATTTGCATGCTTCTAACCAGCGGAGTAGTGCTGTGCTGAGCTAAAGAACATAGAAGTGTTTTGCAGCTGTAAACTTCCTGAAAGTTTTTAGTCAGCTCTGCCTCTCTTCATTTCTGAGTCTTGGCTTGAATATAATCCTGCGAAGAAGGTTTTCATTGCTGTTCATAATTTGAGAGAACTTGGTCTTTTGTTCAGAAGAAGCTGTCCTCACTGCGGCTGAAATCTGGTTTTAAGCTGTTGACTGTTTTTTGGAGCAGATTATTAGAATTGTGCTTCCTAGTGGTTAACTTCAATCCACTTTGATAATATCACAGCACAATGTTTCAATCTCGTCTTGAATTCTAAATTTAAGCTTAGTCAGGATGTAATTTTTTTTTTTCTAAATCTGTAATCTAATCTGTATGTCAAATGGAACTGAAATCCAAAATTTAATAAATTTTTGAGCTCCGGAACTATTTTAAATAAATGATTACATTAGTAAAAATCACCATCTTTGCGCCCCTCGGTAAGACTTTGTATGGGAGCGAGCTGTCAGTTTGATAGTTTAGTGTCAAACAGTTATGATTTTGCTTTAAATTTTGATTTAAAATTCTAGATGAAGGTCTTTGTGTTTTAAAAAATATCATTGTGTTCAGACAACGAAGCTCATTCAGATAATTTTTTAAAAGTTAAAGAAGCCAAAAGGTCCACCGAAAAAAAAATTGCTCCAATTTTGCTCAAACCTTGTATATTTGATCCTCGTTGAAACATTTTAGAAGGGTATTTGTTGCCCTTAAGGAGCACCTTCTTGAGTTAGGGTGATCCTAAAAATCAACATTTCGACAGTGAGCATGCATAAGGGCCTATACGCGATGATCGATTCTCTTCATCGATTTTCTCTTTGCATTGCTACAGCTAAGCGAAACAATTTTGTAGAATTTATTCAATGTAGAGTTGTAACAGGTTGCATTGGCTATCAATAGCAACAGCAAACGCACCGACAAACGTTAAATCTAGCGAGTTATTAACAAAAGAGAAAATGGATTAAGAGAATCGATCATCGCGTATACGCCCTTATGAATGCTCACTGTCGATTTGTGCTTCTATATCCAATTTTGAAAATTCATAATTTTTTAACTACTGCACCAATTTTCGAACTTTTTTTAGCAAATGAAAAGTATTTAAAAGGGCTATCTAGGAAAAAATACGAAACTGAAAACTACGTGTTTTTATGTTACTTTATACGTGAAGTTTACGATTTTCAGAGTTGGTTAGAAATGCTATCTAACGTGAAACTTTAGTGCGATAGTTTATGAGCTAGATAATGGTCTGAGAAGAGGGTAGGTAAACAGTTTTGCTGGCGTACGGCTGTATGTAAATTGAATAGAAGTTGAAAATGAGCGAAGGGTGAGGGTCATTAATGCGACATTACTAGTCAAACGTGTTGTGAACCAGACAAAAGCGTAATATTTACCCTTAACTTGAGTGGTTAACAGTGTTTTAACAAGTGTCAGCTTCCAACCTTGATTTGTATTGCTCTGGATCTTTCTTTTATTCTAAATATAACTATCACTGCGTGCATACGTATTGGACTTTTTTCTCGTCAGGTTATGGGCCCAGACATGGGTACTTTTTCCATAATCTTCCGTTTTGTTTTATTCGAAACACGATACGCCTAAAGTAACGTGGAAGTGAAAAACAAAATAACAGAATTTCGGTCGCGAGTGTGCAGAAAAGTGCAGCGGAAAACTCGGTGGAAAGTTGGACGGCAGATTTTGTCAGGAACGACGTCATTTTGTTTTGGAGACAATGGAAGACGAGCGCACGCAGCGGGTCTACTTGTTCGACGGGAAAAATTACTCGACGTGGAGCTTTCGTATGCAAGCATACTTGGAAGAGTTGAGTTTACTGCATTGTATCGAAAAGCCACTGGAAGAGGAAGATTTTTACTCGGAAAATGCAGCAGATACGGCAGCGGTGAAGGTGGAACAAGAAGAAAAACGGAAGAGGCGCAAGCAAGAAGACGCCAAGTGTAAATCTATCCTGATTCATAAGATAGCGGACTCACAGCTCGAATATGTTCGTGGAACGACGTCGCCAAAGGCTATTTGGGCAGTGCTTCAACACACTTTCGAGCAGAAAGGTATTTCCGGAGTGTTTTTCTTACTAAAACAGTTGACTGGCATGAAGTATGGTGAGTCCATGACGATGGAGAAACACATTCTGTTGTTCGAGAAGATTGTGCGGGAACTGGAGTCGGCAGGAATTAAATTCGATGAGCCAGTAGTAGTGTTTTTCTTATTGCAATCCATGCCGAAGTCGTACGAACATTTGATTACCGTACTGGAGACGCTTCCGGTAGAGCAGTGCTCCATGGAGTTCGTTAAAGCGAGGCTTCTCAGTGAGGACGTGAAGCGCCAGTATAGTGGAAGTGCTGGAACCGGGAGCGGCTTTTGCTGGAAGGAGCGGAAAATTCCCCTTCAAGTGCCACGCCTGCGGAAAGCTGGGGCATAAACGAGCGAATTGCCCTGAAATCAAGTGGTCGAATCGTGCTACTGAAGAACGAAAGAAGACGAAGAAGAAGAACAACTCTGGAGCGCACAGTGCTGAAGCAGAAAGTGACGATGTTGCTTTCAGTGTGAGTGTGACGCTCTGCAAACTGTTGATAATGAGTTCCGGTGGGTGCTCGATAGTGGTGCTTCAGAGCATATGGTGAATAACAAGGGTTGTCTTGTGAACGTTCGGAAGCTTGAGGTACCAACCGTAATCAATGTTGCTAAGTCAGGTGTGTCGCTGATTAGTCGTTTCGCTGGTGACGTCAGAATGAGCGCGGAAGTGAACGGAAAACAGGTGAGTTGCACAGTGTACGATGTTTTGTTTGTTCCTGGCCTATATACCAACTTGTTCTCCGTCAAACGAGTGGCGGAACGCTGAATGGAAGTCTTATTCGGAAAAGACAGTGCGCGAATCTCGAGAAACGGAAACATTGTGTGTACCGCGGATCGCAAAGGTCGGTTATACGAACTAAACGTCGAAGTGATGAAAGTGTCGTCTGTGATGGTGAGTGTATCAGAAAGCAAATTATCGCTGTGGCACCGTAGATTTGGCCACATTGGTAATGCTGGTTTGCTGAAACTGATCCGAAGTGGCATGGTCGATGGAATAAGACAATTCAGTCGCGCCATTTTTGCAGTTCACACTGGAATTGTGACGTTTCAGATGTTGGTTTCAATAACATGGCGGCATGCCAGCCAGCTGGTACATACGGACGTGTGTGGTCCGTTCAAGCCGGAGTCTTGGGACGGAAAGAAGATTTTTGTAACTTTTATTGACACGCACTTTACGGCAGTGTATACGTTGAAAGCGAAGAGTGATGTGGTGGAAGCATTCAAAAAGTATGCTGCGATGGCTACGTCACATTTCGAACGGAAAATCGCCAGACTGCGTTGTGATAATGGAGGCGAATATATGAACGAAGAATTCAAAACGTACTGCAGTGAAATGGGAATCGTTATGGAACCAAGTGTGCCGTATAATCCCCAACAAAACGGTGTCGCGGAACGTATGAACAGAACGATCCTCGAACACGCGCGGGCAATGTTGGATTAATCGGGTGTGAATAGGCTCCTGTGGACTGAAGCAGTACAAGCAGCAGGTCATGTGGTTAACCGGAGCCCTACAAACGCTTTAGCAGTTGCGGTCGCTGGAAAAGAACCACACTTGGGACCTGGTAAATCTTCCTGCTGGCAAGCGTGCAATTCCAAGTAAGTGGGTCTTTAAAATTAAACACAAGGCTGATGGAAGTGTCGCGAGGTACAAAGTGCGTCTTGTGGCAAAAGGGTGCTCCCAACGTCACGGCTTTGATCACCAGGAAACGTACGCACCGGTTGTTCGTATTAGTACAGTCCGTACGTTGCTAGCAGTAGCGGTTCAGCAAGACCTTCACATTCATCAGATGGATGTACGCACCGCCTTTTTGAACGGAAGCCTATCGGAAACCGTATATATGCGTCCACCTCCAGGATTTGGGAGGGGAAATAAAGTGTGTATGCTTAACAAATCCTTGTATGACCTCAAACAGGCGCCTCGCAGCTGGAATAAGCGCTTTCATGAGTATATGTTGAAACTGGGTTTCAGACGCTCTCAATACGATAGCTGCTTGTACGTACGCAAGACGAAGGACGTGGTCGATTACTTGATCCTATACGTGGACGACATTATCTTAGCATGCAATTCGTTGACGGAGCTAATGATAATCAAACGTAGCTTGACTAAGGAGTTCGAGATGGACGATATGAAGGAGTTGAAGTATTTTCTTGGTTTGAAAGTGGAAAGAAACATAGAGAAAGGAGTCTTAACTATCAACCAGTCCCAATACGTTCGGGCACTTTTGAAGCGATTTGGCATGCAGGACTAGAGTGATGCAAATCCACAATACTTAAACGATTCCAAATCGGATCCTGACTAACCTCTCAAAATTTGAACCCATTTGGTGAGAAACTGAGATGGCACAAACCATTTGAAGTTTGTATGGGAATTACTATGGTAAAACCAAGATTTTTGTTCATGTCTATCTAATAATTCACCATATCGATCTGCTTCAAAAGCTTTCAACTGTGCTTGTAGGAAATTTTCCCAGCTACAACTTTGCTGAAAATTACTTTTTGATTAAATGCAAGGATCAAAAGTTATCAATGGTTCAATGCGCTGATGTCTTATGATCATGCTCAACCAACTCACCAGGCAACATTGGTGTTTCTGGGGCGTTGAATAAGACACAAAAATCATGGCTACTATGTCACACTGCAAAATACAGTGTTGCCTACAGAGCAGCTGCTTGATCATGTCATAAGTTTATCAATCTCTTAAATAATTAATAACTTTTTCCTGTCTCGTTTTACATAGAAACGATCTTCAGCAAACTTGTAGCTGCGAACATTTTCTTTAAGAATGACTATCGAACTGTTTCGCAGCTCAACCAGGAAAAAGACTAGAAGGCAATGAACAAAAAGTTGAGATTTCCCATAGTAATTAACATGTAAACTTCAAATGGCTTGTGCGAAGTCTGTTTCTAACCAAATGAGTTGTTACTTTGGGAGGCTAATCAGGACTCGATTTGAAACCATTTAATCACTGTGGAGCGAAAAAGTCAAATTTTGCATCAGTCTAATGCAGGACTGTAGGCCAGTGGCTACTCCATTGGGAGTCAATCTGAAACTAAAGAGAAACGATTCGGAAACGGCAACGAAACATCCATACCGTGAACTTGTAGGATGCTTAACGTATCTCATGCTGTCGTCACGTCACGTGAACTTCCTCAGCCGTTTCCAGAGTGAAGCAACGGACATCCATTGGACGCACTTGAAACATGTTTTGCGTTATTTACACGGCACAACGGAATACTACCTTGTATATCAGCGAAGCAAAACTGCAGAACCTCTGGTGGGCTACGCCGACGCCGACTGGGGAAGCGACATCAACGACCGTAGATCAACCTCCGGCAGCTTGTTCCAAGTATTCGGAAATTCAGTACTGTGGACAACAAGAAAGCAACCGACCGATTCCCTATCATCTACTGAGGCAGAGTACGTGTCGTTAAGTCAGGCTGCATGCGATGCGATCTGGCTCAGGAATCTTCTAAGAGACCTTGGAATCGATTGTTGTTCTCCCACCACGCTCTACGAGGATAATCAATCGTGTATCCATATTGCCAACGAACCTTGTGACCAGAAGAGACTGAAGCACCTGGATATACGCTACCATTTCAAATTGATAAACGATTCTTAAAAACACCTAAATGATCCATAAAACTCCGGTGAAATCCTTAAAATGTCACTATGATCCATATTTTATGTAAAATTTAGCAACGTAATTGTAAAAATGTACCGCTTAATTTCTAAAGAATGAGCATTGAAATTGTACGAGTTACCCCTAAACATATTATCCATTGAACGTTCAACAATGAACCATAAAGGGGCTGTTCATAAACTTCGTAAACAGTTGGCAGTTGGCAGTTATCCACGACCCATACAAATTTTAACAAATCTAGGAATGATGCAAAAAATTGAATTGAATCCACCATATTATGCTCAGTAAGCAAAATTGGTCGCTGCTAAGCCACCAAGCTCCTTTCATCGCAACAAACCATTTCTATTAGTGATCGCTAAAGCCTAGCAACATGAAGCGTTTCAAATGGAAACCTCCTCCTCCTCCTCCTCCTCCTCCTCCTCCTCCTCCTCCTCCTCCTCCTCCTCCTCCTCCTCCTCCTCCTCCTCCTCCTCCTCCTCCTCCTCCTCCTCCTCCTCCTCCTCCTCCTCCTCCTCCTCCTCCTCCTCCTCCTCCTCCTCCTCCTCCTCCTCCTCCTCCTCCTCCTCCTCCTCCTCCTCCTCCTCCTCCTCCTCCTCCTCCTCCTCCTCCTCCTCCTCCTCCTCCTCCTCCTCCTCCTCCTCCTCCTCCTCCTCCTCCTCCTCCTCCTCCTCCTCCTCCTCCTCCTCCTCCTCCTCCTCCTCCTCCTCCTCCTCCTCCTCCTCCTCCTCCTCCTCCTCCTCCTCCTCCTCCTCCTCCTCCTCCTCCTCCTCCTCCTCCTCCTCCTCCTCCTCCTCCTCCTCCTCCTCCTCCTCCTCCTCCTCCTCCTCCTCCTCCTCCTCCTCCTCCTCCTCCTCCTCCTCCTCCTCCTCCTCCTCCTCCTCCTCCTCCTCCTCCTCCTCCTTCACGTTCACAGTTGGTAAGGGTTGAACGAAGGTTATTAAGCAGATATGATGCAGGGTAATCAAATCAATCAATTTAGGTGTCTCCAAATTTCGCTGAGTTATTGAGTTTTTTAAACATGTTTTTTTATTGTTAGCAGCTTTTCGGCTTTGCTAGAAGGTGCACCTTCAGTTCATATGTTGCTGTGATGCGAAAAATGAGAAAGCAAATGACAGTGATCTTTCTCACTGAGCTATGTGAGTTACTCGAGGTGCATCAAAAGCAATTCAGAAATTGCTCATGATTAGGAGCTGTCTTGCCCCTAGGGGGGTTAGAAGGAAAGGGTTGTAAGTGACTTTGATCGATTATCTTCATCGATTTTCTCTTTTGATAGCTACAGCTTTATGAACAGATTTTGCGCTATTCAAGGAATGTGTTTGCAGCTGAATTATTAACGAAAGAGAAAGTCGATGAAGAGAATCGATCAAAGTCACTTACACCCCTTTCTTTCTAACCCCCTCAATTACCAATGTTCTTCCGAGTGTTACACATAATAAAGTCCACTTTTGTTGCTCCTGTTATGCATTAGTGTCAAAAATCACGGCTTCAAAGAAGTATAAGGCTAAAGCGAAGGCTAAGAAAAACAAAAGACAAAAGAAAAAATTGTGATTTGTTCCGGCCAAAAAAATACCCGAGAGAGGTCTAAGATGAACTCTGAGGGTATTTTGAGCTAATTCAAGCTAATTCTTCAGAAAATATTGAAGTAATTTTGTTAAGATATTCAAGGATATCAGAAATAATCAAGATCCAAGATAAATTTTGAGATTTTCTGTTTAGAAGAATTTATGATTTCCAAGATTCTGCATCGTCCATAAGTCAGAACAAATATCTAAATGTTCGTCAAAATTTATTTATGTTTGGGCTAATGACCATTCGGCCTAATGGCCGTTCACCCTCAGCGCGATAGTGCCACATCCAGAAACGACCAGAACCTTTGATATAATGACTAATTACATTTCAACAACTGGCAAAAGGAATGATCGCCGATTCGCTCATGTAGGTCCGATGTGCGGAAACGGTTCTATCGGTTGTTTCAAAATTTTAAATTGCATCTATTGTTTCCTCTACCACTGTCATATATGGAATATTCTCATGACGCATTTATCATCATTTGTGTGACCTGCGAGAAGGCAACAAGAAAGTTCATTCTCATAATTTTTAAATCATCACGGCCGACCTGGTGCAGTGCAATCAGCCGAACCGAACAAACCCAAGCGAAGAATCTTTTCCGTTCTTTTCAATTCTGAGTTAGCACCCTCCTCCCAAGGGACATATCATTTTGTCGCCAGGGTTGGTTTGTTCCACCTTAACGACCACCGTCTCGTGGTATCTATAATGTTTCCGATTAACCGTCTTTCATTTTCCACCGGATTCCGCGAACATGGCGGAGGCGGAGACAGCGTGCTGATTAGGTCGGCCGAAAAATGGAAGTTTTAGTCGGTTCACTGAATGCTCAGCGTACAGGATTTATGAATCATGATACCGAAACTTAGCTATCGAATTACAGATGACAGCAGAGCCTACAGTAGAATGGTGGAGCAATCTACTTAGGAAAACATTGATTTCAGTTGTGTGGGGGTGCAGAATTATTGGATATTTCTCCGAAGAACCGAAACCGGACTCATCCCACACAGAAAGAGCGGTGGAAGGAATAAGAATGGCTGGTCATAAAATTGATAATAATTAATGTACTGCGGGAGAATGACAAACGGGTTGCAGCATCAAAGTAGGCTGTTTGCTCGATTGGGATTGGAGCTACTTTTTGACAGTTGCAGTTTCGGGCGTCCCGAGTAGGGATGCCAAGCAGTCTTTTCGAAGAACATCGATGAACAATTTTTCGCCGTTTTTGTTTTGGTTTTGTTCTTTATTCTACATGAGTTGCTCTCAGTCGAAAATGGACGATTTATTTTGTACAGATAGTAGGTAGTAAGTTGAAAGAGAGAGGGGTAAGGATGAGGTAAATAAATATTTACAACCATTCTCAGGCGCACCTTCAAAGAATTCACCACCCCTTCAGGGCTGCTATTTTCCTTTTCCGAGTGGAGTTTGTGCGCATTAAAGGAGCTTTCCTGTGAAAGTCTAGTGGCAGAAAAGAAAGATTGTTCCCTACGCGCTAAGAGGAGTTTTAAAAAAAATCTCAGTCCTTTGCGGTTATTCCGTGCTTAACCTAGAAATAAAAAAATCCTAGCTTTATATACTATGTACAAAAGATATTGCTCTCGTGTGCGGTTTCCTTGACTGTGTGCATTGCCAGGTGGAGGCGTTGGTCCGGTCGGTTGATTCGCTGTCGGTTGTCGGTGGTTGAAATCGATTACCAAGCGTATTGGGCGCCAAGGCCGGCGAACTGGACGACGGCTCCGGGGTGGGCAGTGGCGATCGGAGCCCTAATCGGACGGAAAGAAGGGTAAATTTTTAATCAAAGGCAGCTTTCTTCGTGATTCGTGGTGGTTCTTACTTGTAGGCGGCGATGGCTGGGGCGGCCAGGGAGTGAGCGTAACCGTGTCCGTAGGCAGCTGGGTAGGCGGCGTGTCCGTAGGCGGCTGGGTAGGCGGCGTGTCCGTAGGCGGCTGGGTAGGCGGCATGACCGTAGGCGGCATGTCCGTAGGCGGCATGTCCATAGGCGGCTGGGTAAGCGGCATGTCCGTAGGCGGGATAGGCGGCCTTAACGACCGAAGCGGCTGGGTAGTGACCGGCGTAGTGGACAGCGGGAGCGGCTGCAGTTAAAATGGTGAGAAATAGTAAGCTTAGAATTCACGCATCAGGCGGCACTAGTGTGCCATTTGGATTGCAGACCGAGTAGCTAGAAGGTTGCTGTCTGCGGCAACGTTCTTATCAGACGGCGCTAGTGTTCCATTTGATTTCAAATGGATTGCTTTAACTATATAGAACGAGTAGATAAAAGGTTTCTGTCTTTGGAAGTGTTGTTCACATTGACAAGACATATTGGATGGTGGACATTTCAGGTCACAATTCACTCACCACGCTATAGCGTGTCATTTGGCTTCAAATTGATTGTCGTAACTTGACAGTTTGACTAGATAGAAGGTTGCTATCTTTGGCAAAGTTGTTCAGATGGACAAGAACTATCCAGCTTTCCACGCTCGGTAATGGCGGCCTGCACGGGGCTTGAATTGCATCCGCTCACTGTAGTTTTTGAATCTAAACTTCTCAGAATTGCGTTGAACTTTTTTAAAATTCCAGCAATTTTCCGTTCGGCTTTGAAGTTCGGAACTCAGAGAAACACACGGAACTTCCCTTTAAATCTCAATCTCCCTAAAACTACCTGAATTTCTCGCAGTTGCATGAAGTTTTCTTTAATTCGTGAAGTTCGCTAAATTCTCATGACGTTCTTGAACTGCTCTGAAGTTCTCTGATCTTCCTTGAAGTACTAAGAACGTCCCTACAAAATCAATGAAACTGCCTAATAATCTCAGCAGCTTACTCTTTAAGATCTTTGTGTTTTCCTAAAGTTCTGCACTTTCATGATTAAATTAGTGATGCCGAAAGGAATTGCTTGTTTTAACGGTTTTCTCAGCCATTATCTACCGGACGTTTCGGCTGTGGCTTTCGGTCTTTTTCAAGGGAAAATAACGACGATAATGACTTGAAAAGGCAGGGTGTCTACTAACTGTAAAAAACCTGGAAAATCAGGGAATCTCAGGGAATTTAATTTTCGACCTGTAAACTTAGAAAACCGCAGGGAATTTTCATTAAATTCCGGAAAATATTTAAAAATCCTTATTCATAACTGCATTACATCTACAATGATATTACCAATCATGTAGAGTGATACAATGATTTTTTAAAAGAAGGCTTACACTGGAACAATTTAAATCCAGTGAAATGTTCTTTGGACTAGACAAATTTTTTCGAGATCCTAGACATGAACCATTTCTTCAAGGTTCAGAAACGTATTGCAATTTTAAGGTTTCGTAACTTTTTTTCCTTTGCATCTGTGCAACATTTATCTAAAGTTCTTTAGACATCCTTTAGGATCTCCGAACTTAACTGATTTTGAAATTTTCTCTAAATTAAATGAACTACCCTCAGATCCTCCCTGATTCTTCTGAAGTGATTGGAACTGCCCGGAAATAAATGAAACTATCCTAAACAATCATTAAACTTCCTTGAAAAGCTGTGGACTTTCCTGAAATTTCTGAAACTTCATTTTTAAATTTCTTGAAGTTACTGGCACTGCCCTAAACGTCTCTGAGCTTCCCGGAAGATCTTCTCTAGACCTAACTTCGGTGAGATTTTTGGATTTTTTTCAAATTTTCCTCAACTTCTCAGAAACTTCTTTGAAGTCTTCTTAACTTCCCTGAAGTACTCTAACTACTCAGAACTACTTTAAAGTTCCTGAAATTTCCCTGAAGCTGGTGGAATGGCGTTGAAGTGATCAAAACTTCCCTGAAGTTCCCGATATTGTATAGAAGTTCTTGGAACTCCTTTTATTAACCCGCCGTCTGTTCATGAAACTTCCCCGGAAATATCATTATTTTCTTCCATTCTTCGGAACGATTTTCTAGTTCCTAAAATTTTTGAGAACCACCCTGAAGTTCTTGGAACATCCCTGAAGCTTTCATTACTCTTCTAATGATGTTCCTGGAATAGCCTTGATATTAATAAAACTGCATTAAAGATATCTGAAATTCCCGAAGTTCTCTGCTGTTCCGTGAATTTCCCTAACATTCTGTGAAGTTTCTTTAATGTTTGGGACATCTTGAAGGCTCTCGCTATTTTGCTGAATTTAAAGGAACTGCCTTTAATTTCTCTAACTTTACCTAAATCTCTCGGAACTTCGTTGAAGTTCTTGCAATTTTCCTCATATCCAGAATTGCACAGAAGTTCTCAGAACTACCCCAAAGTGCACGTAATGTCCCTTAAGGTTACTAAACTCAAATGAAGTTTTGGCAACTCCTGTAAAACTCCTGCAATTTTCCTGAATTTAATGCAACTACCCTTCCCTAAAACTCCTGAAATAAAGGACTTTCGAACTTCCCCGTAGTTCTGAATGTTCTCAGAACTACTGGATTTGCCCTGCAATTGAGAAAACTGCCTTAAAGATATCTGAAATTCCCGAAGTTTTCTGCTGTTCCGTGAATTTCCCTAAGTTTCTGCGAAGATTCCGAATTCTTATTCTTAAGTTCTCTAAACTTCCCTGATGATCTCTCGGATATATTTAATTTTTGGAACAACTTGAAGGTTCTCGCTATTTTGCTGAATTTAATGGAACTACTTTTACTGTATTGGAAGGTCCCTAAAGCTCTCGGAACTTCGCTGAAGTTCCCGCAAATTCGCCTGATGATTCCATGGAACTGCACAGAAGTTCTCAGAACCAATCCAAATTTCACTTAACGTCCTTTAAGATCTTAAGATCACTAAACTCAAATGAAGTTTTGGAAACTTCTGTAAAACTCCTGCAATTTTCCTGAATTTGCGTATAATCTATGGAACTGCCCTGAAGCTGTCGCACCCTATCATAAAGGACTTTAGAACTTCCCCGTAGTTCTGAATGTTCTCAGAACTATCATAAATTTTTCGAACTTCTTGTAAATTCTTCCAATTTCCTTCTCACAATTTCCTGAAGGCTCCCGCATTTTTTCTATGGTTAGTGAAACTAGTGTTTCCTAGCTGGGAAATCCCGGGAAAAACCCGATTCCCGGGAATTTGTTCCAGTTTCCCGGGAACCAATTTTAGAAGTATTTTTGGGTGGAAAATATAAGAACTTTCCCAGAAGAGTCAAAAGAAACATCTTGGAGAAAGTTTGCAAAAACTTCCAGAGAAGGAAATCTCGGATGACCAGTGAACCGGAAAATCGGGAAAAACAGGAATTTGAAGTCACCGGGGAAAAATCCCGGGAATTTCGATGACAAATCGAAAAAAAATATGCCTACTTCGTCCAGTCTTCGAAAACAAAAATTAGATTTTGGACCGGAAAAAAAAAATAAGATTTTTGGACCGGAAATTGGATTGGACTAGAATTATTAGGGAACATGCATAAATGACGTAGCATTTTAGGCGGGAGGGGTGGAGTTCAGAAGTTAGGTATAGCCAAACACGCTACGAGGGGAGGGGGGGTCTAAATTGGTCAAAAATATGCTACGTCATTTATGGATGGTCCCTTAACAGATTTTTGGATTTTGTTTTCCAATGAATGTCTTCCAGGGTTAACACCAAGGTATTTCAGAGGAGAACTCTAAGCTGGTCGCCATAGTACACAGTTGTGTGGGTCACGTCGCTTATTGCATCTACTCTGGGGGGCGTCCTAAGAGAGTTTTGGCAAAAACTTCAAGTCAAAGTTGTGTGAGTTCAGAGTAGAATTTTTTAGTAGCTCTGTGGAAAATTCCACGACGATTGTGAAATGGGTTCCAGGGTCCTTGACAAATACCAAGAGAATCGAATTTGAGGTTATTATTATTATTTAACTTTATTAGGGAGGCTTTCAGCCTTGCGCTGGTTCGCCTCCAACTGAATTTGAGGGTACAATTCCAAAGGAATTCTGAGTTTTAAGGAAATTCCGAGGATAATTCTGAGGGTATTCCGGAAAAAAAAATCTGGGGTATTTTAACGAGAGTCAGTTTTCAGAAGAATTTAGAGGACAACTCCAAGATAATTCCGAGCAAAGTTTTAGGACATTTCTTCAGTGAATTGCACTGCGAATTTTAAATTATGGATGAATTCTTAGAAAAACCTTTAAAATTCGAGAAAAGCTTAGGATAAATTTCATATTTTTTTTATTGTTCTGGAGAGAAAATGTGGACTGTTATAAAGTAATTTTCAAGAGACTCCCAGGTAGAATCAAAAAATTTATTTTAGATTCATTCTGAGATCATTTTAATAAAATCATATAAAGAGTTTTGAGTGAATATTAAAGGTAGTTAAAACAAACTAATTTTGAAGACTTTGAACGCAGAACCAAGTTCAAGATCCCTTCCGCTTTCGGTTTTATGTTTAATTTAAATGTTTATCGCACAACCTGGTAAATTTTCAAAATTCCTGGAGAAAACCGGGAAATTGCTAATCGGGATTCACTGGTCCCCTTGGAAGAATTCTCTAGGTGACGTCAGAGGAATTTTCCAAGGGAAGCTAGAAGAAAATTCTGGAGGAGTCCAGAAAAAACTGCCGAGGAAATCAGAGGACATTTTCATGCGAAGGCAAAAAGACTTATCAAGGAAGTCGGGAGTAACTTCCGGAGATGTCGGGAAAAATTCTGGGGACGATTAAATTCAAATTTTCATTTGACATTTTAAGAGGCTTTCTGGAGAAGTTTGGCTGAATCTCCCAACGGAAGTCAAAAGAAGCTCCGGCGGAAGCCAGAAGGAGCTTCCAAAGAAATCCGATGACTATTTCTAGTTGGAAAAGATTTCTGGGAGAATTCGGTAATCTCTTCTGGGTACAAACAAACTCCCGAGGGTCCTTAAACTATTTTCTATATTATAAATCGCTGTACAGAAGTTAAGAGATAAACATTCTGATGAATAATTGCCATGAATTCGACCTATGTCTAGACTTTTAACGAAAATATTTCCCGTTTCCCGGAAAGTCCCGGGAAGAGCCATCGGCATTTTCTCGTTTCCCGGGAAGCCAAAACTGGCTGGGAATTGGAAACACTAACGGTGGTAAGCTCTAACCGGTATTGTCCTTGGATTAAATCCCGATCAAGAATGTCCGACTGCTTTGATGTCGACATCAGAGTTAATCAACACGACTCTAAGAAAACCGTTTCCAGGCCATCCAAACAGGGACGGTATTATAAGTTAATCCGAGTTGGAGCTTACCGCCATAAGTGGAACTAACATAAGGTTGTTAAAATTTTCCTAAAGTTCTCGTACCTTCATTAAAGGTTTCTCTGACGTTCATGGAACTGCCAAAATCTCTGAAGTTTTCTGGACTTTGTTCTTGGCACATGTCTTGATAATAGTTTGCTATTTTTCTAAAATTAATCGAACGGCCTTGAAGTTCTCAGAACTTTTCCGATAACACAGTTGCGGGGGCCATCCAAGCAAAAAAGCTGAGCACGGTTCTGTCTATTACCTCCATCACTTTAGTGTAACTGGCTAAAATGATCCTTCTATGCGGTGACTCTTTCACTGTTGATTTTGATATTCAAGAATAAAATCCCATTAAAACAAATCTAGAAATTCGACTAACCAACCATTACGTCGCTATATGGTAGTCACTAAAGTAATATTTCATGGCATGCTGCTTTGCACGGCAGCAAGTCAACTCACATTTCACTCTCGCGACTCTAATCGATGTAAAACGTGAACACTTTCAGCTGTTTCAGGTTCCACCACCCCCGCCCACCCTCTTTCCTACTCACCAATGGCTGGAGCGGCATAACGGATGGCTGGAGCAGCAATGTGAGCTGGAAACGACGAGAATAAAAAATCAAAAGTTAGTTACATCGAAACGTGCAGAATCATGCAAATAGGTGAATAAAAACGGCACTATTTCCGTTGCCAGGAGATATACACAAGCCACGCCACGCGTTCATAAAAGAGATGACTGCTTGGATTTTTTTTCCCCGGCTAACCAACCGAAGTAGCAGAGCTGTCAAACGGAAGCACATCCTTTCACGCTTAATATCACCCGCCGTTGGTTGCTGGGCACGAAGAAGAAGGATATAGATGGCGCAAACGTGATAAGTGTTATTCTCCGAACGGGGATTTAGCACGGTGGCGATGAAATTGTGATGCATTTTGACGTCTTAAGCTGCAGCACCACGTGGCTTGCCCGTCATTGTTAAAGGGATAAACTCTACTCAGTACTACTTGGTAACTCACCGGCTGGGTAGGCGGCAGCGGCGTAGTGCGGGGCGTATGCAATGCCATCGTTGGTCAGGCGGGAGTTGTGCACCCGGACGGACGAGTGAGCCGAATCGACGGCCTTGGAGTACTGGGAGAGGACATTCTGGCCGTACAGTCCCTTGACGGTGTGCTCGTGGCTGGCTCCGACCGAGTGGTAGTCCGCGCTGGGGGCAGCGATCGAGTAGGTGGCAGCACCGGCGGCACTGACGCACGCAACCATGGCGGCGGCCAGGATGATAAACTGCGAGGGGGAAAAAAACGACACTTTAATATCACACACTTCACACCAAAACACTAAACTCCAAATACCTTGAAGGCCATTGTAAGCGTTTTTTTTCTTCTCGTTGCTAAGACTCACGGGTTATCACGAATGCACTTTCGGCAAAGAACTGTTACTAAATCTGGGCGCGCAATTCGCTTTTATACGCAAGTGCAGTTGTAGGTTCTAAGCCTGTCTATAGTGGCAATGGTCGGTTGGTTGGTCGGGCGGTCGGTCTAACGCACGTTGGAAAAGATCGAAGAACCTACTGCAAACATGTTGTCTCGGTTTTGGTTTGTTTTTTTTTTTCGACGCTGCATCTCGTTTACTCCGAAAGGGTGTGATTCGCTGGCGGAGCCTACTCCTGCGTGGTGCATTACGTTTGCTAAGCTTGCTTTGATGCATTTCGCTTGCAATAAAGCTACACCCAAAGCCATAGCACGAGACAACGCAAAAGGTGTAGTTTATGGGTAGTCTGCTGCGGATGGAGATTTGCAGTTGCCTAGAATCGTTCTTTTCGCTTGTCACGGTGAGAACCAACCGTGCTGTGAGCTGTGAACAATTAAACTTTGATGAATGTGTATTAATGTGTGTTTTGTAGGGATTCGGGATGCGGAGTTTTTCCACGAAGCACATACGATCTTGTTTATTCGGAATTGTTTGGAATTTTGATAAGAATGTCCCTAAATTAATCATTAATCATTATAATAGACTGAAAGTGGCATGATATACACTTTTCTGACATATTCAACACATCATCTGAATGGAATGGTATCAATAAGATATTTAATGCTCTCCAAACTATACTGAAAATAAAATCTTGAAGTTCTTATGAACTAGATATCAACATGAATGTTCTTGGAACTGGAGAGTCGCGAAATACATTCGAAAAGTGCCAAATATTATCAAATTCACATTCAAACCTCTACATTTTGAAAACGGTGTTATTTAGAAAAATTTTATGCAAGAGGTTTTAATTGTAAATTTGATATAGGGGAAATGGATGTAATGTTGGCTTAATTTCCCCTAATTTGGGCCTATACATAAATTCAGCAATCGACTAAATTTTCAATAGCGACCAAAAATATCTATAAGTACCGTCCAAATGACGCGTTCATCTAGATAAAATTGATAAACAGCAGATTTTTAGTGATGGGCCCAATCTTCGATCCATAGGCCAACAATTAGAGCCATTTCCCCTAAATGTCTTTTTGGCTACGCTTGAAAATGTCTTCTGATTTCCTCGCAAGTTGTTCCTAGACATCCCCGGAAATTTTTTCTGGCTTCCCTTAGAAAATTCCTCTGACTTCACCAGATCTTTAGACTTCCTCTGGACGTTTCTGTAAACTTTCTCCTTAGATGTTTCTTATGACTCTTGCGGGAAAATTCTTATATTTTTCACCCAAAAATGCCTCTAAAATTGTTTCTCGGCAAATTGAAACAAATTCCAGGGAATCGGGAAACGTGATTTTTCGTAACCTTCCCCGGGATGTCCCGGGTAGGAAACACTACTTAGAAAGTCCTCCTGGTACTTCAAGATCATCCAAATAATCAGCAATTTTATATAGCACCTCAAACGCCCTGCTGTTGCACTTCAAACTCCCAAAGTCATACAAAAAAATCATCAAATTTCAAAAGACACCTTGAATGCCACATGGTTGCAGTTCTACCCCCCAAAATTATCAACGGAGGTCAATAGTCAGTTAGAACGATCTCCTGCTACTTCAAAATCTAAAAACACTATACACGATTTAAACAGGCCCGATGTTTGCTGAATCATCTTGCCCCTTAAATGCTGCACAGTAGGCCTGGCCGTTTTGACATACTTTGCGCATCTCTGATGTGCAACATATACCAAATAGACGATAGGGTTAACTACCCCATTTCCGGCCTATTAAGCACAACCCGCACTCAGTCTTTCTTAATCTAGCGCAGTTTAGCTCCAAACGGAATGTTATTATTACTGATGCCTTCCAAATGCATTTACCTTTCCGTACGAACCATAAGATTTGATAAAGAGAAACAAGTTGTTGATATATTTTTAAAAGTCTAACACTGCTTCTTGACGCCAAATTCAGCCTACGGATTCTTAACTCGGCCTAACGCATTGAAACGTCTATGGATTCACTTCGGCCTATCGGGTGAAGATAAAAATTGATTCGGTCGCAGCGCTTCATTTGTTTTTAAGAACATTGGAAACAATCACGCGTTCTTATTGACTTCGTTCGGTAGCATTTGAACTAAAGTATCGTACCAAGCGCGTAATTTACCTGCTAAAGCCGAAATCATGGATTTATTTGATATTTTCTGCTTGATAGGCCCAAAATGGGCGCTTGGGCCTAAGTAGTTCTCTATCCTATCAAAAAGTAATAAATAACAATAAATCAGTTTTTCAGAAAAATTATATTTAAGCTTTTATTTTTATATTGTGCATTATTTTTAAAGTATACGCATTTGTTTCAAATAGTCCCAGCCATTACCTACACGAAACGAAAATCAATTATTTTATTCATGCGTTTCACTTATACATTTTTGCCAAAACATCAGCCTTATACATTCCACAAGACAAACCACATAGGTCCTATAAGAATGCATAAAAGGTATGTGTAACCGCTTATACATTTCATTTGACACATGATCTTCATTTTTGCAAGGCGTCTGCTTATTAGTTGACTTATACATTTTATGAATAATCAGCAATAGAAATTTGCCAAAAGGTATAAGGATATTTCTATCCGTGTACAACATTGCTCAAGGCACCAAACTGATAGGACCAACCATTTACGAGTAAATTTTTTCCGAAGATATGCTTAATGTTTTCTCTAGGCAGGATGGCCACCCATTCGGGAAAAGCGGGAAATGCGGGAAAAAGTCGGGAATTGAAATCCATGAGGAAAAACGCATTATTTAGTCGGGAATTTTTTCCTTCCGTGCATACGTTTTCAGTCGGTGTAGTTTTTTCAGTGTTTGGGGGGTACGCTACTGCACTTTCCACATCGAATAAGTGCAAGCAAGAGGCAAATCGTGTGCTGAATAGAGAAAGACTATAGACCTTTTTGACGTTTAATCGTCTTTCTCTATCTAAAGGGTGTCCACGATGAAATTGCCACACTATGAAATTGCTCTAACTTTTTAACCGTTGGGTAGAATTTAATGAAAATTTGGGTGGATTTAGTTCATAGTGCATTATTACATCCTGCAAGTTTTAAAGTCCTGTGATCAAAACTCGCGGAAATGGAGTCGAAAGAACAGCTCGTGCGTGATAAAATCTTGCGCATTCATCACGAGAACAAGGATCTCTCGCATTGTTCCATCGCTAAAACGTTGGGAATCGCGAATTCCTACGGTGTCACGAGTGATTAAGCGGTTCGAGGAACGGTTGACCACCGATCGGAAGCCCAGAAGTGAAGAAAAAAGTATTCCGTACAACACCAAAAATCACAACCGCGTAGTTGGGGCCTTCAACCGAAATCCGAACGCCTCCGTTAGGGATGTGGCTAAGAAGCTGCACCTAAGCCGAAGTTTTGTCCAGAAGGCCAAAACTAAGGCTGGGCTTCGAACGTTCAAGGTACAAAAGGCCCCTAATCGCGACGAGAAGCAGAACAAGTCCGCCAAAACCCGTGCCAGGAAGTTGTACCTCAACATGCTGACGAAAGTTGAATGCTGCATCATGGACGACAAAACATATGTGAACGCCGACTTCAAACAGATCCCCGGCAACCTGTTTTTCACGGCCAAGGATAAGTTCAGCGTTCCGGAGCATGTCCGCACTCAGAAGATGTCCAAATTTGCGAAGAAATTCCTGGTTTGGCAAGCCATCTGCACGTGCGGGAAGCGGAGTGCACCTTTCGTGACCCAGGACACGATGAACGGACAGGTGTACATAAAAGAGTGCCTCCAGAAGCGGCTGCTTCCTCTCCTGAAGGCCCACAACGTCCCAACAATCTTCTGGCCGGATTTGGCCTCATGCCACTACTCCAAGGACGTGCTGAAGTGGTATGCGGACAATAAGGTCAATTTCGTGCCGAAAATGTTCAACCCTCCCAACACTCCGGAGCTCCGCCCCATCGAGAAGTACTGGGCGATTATGAAGCAGCACCTTCTTAAACGACCTAAGGTAGTGAAGACAGTCGAGGAACTGAAGAAAGTATGGGTTTACATGCAAAAAACGGTTGATTCACAGGTTGTGCCGAATCTTATGACCGGGGTTAAGGCCAAGGTGCGGGCATTTGCGTATGGACTGTAAATAAAATACGAGTAAAATGGTAAAATGAAGTTTAATAGTTATTTCTCAATCCCTATTTCAATCAATATTTGGCAATCGGATGAAAACTCGAATTTTGCGAATCAATTTTGTGTGTGGCAATTTCATCGTGGACACCCTTTAGCACACATGGATGAATGGACGGTTTGTTTTCCCACTAATCTGTTTCCCTCTTGCTCGCACTTGTTAGATTTAAATTGTACAATAGTGTGCGCCGATTAAACGTCAAAAAGCTCTATTAAACGTCAAAAAGCTCTACAAAATGAACATGTATGTGCATGTTTTTTCGTTTCGCTTTTTCGATCAGCACGGTCGAACCTTCCAACAACGATTCCAACACTCACGTTGTGTAGTATAGAGAGAAAGAGATGACAATATTTTCGCTCTTATTTTTGCCGTGTTTACACGCATACATTCACAATAACCGCTTGTTCTGAGGGTGAGGATGAGATTCAATGGGAAACAATATCATTCTTAAGTTTTGCATCATTATCGATTCAGTTCGGGAATAAAGTTATCAATCAATTTCGCATCATGTCAAGTACTAGATCTACAAGTTATTCCTCTCGATATGAAGAACAGTTTCCGTGGAGTGCTGCTGATCCAAAGGATCCTGGTTCAGCTCGTTGCAAGTGGTGTAATCGGAGCTTCAAGATAAATTCCATGGGCAAAGTTGCCTTTTCCAGCCACGAAAAAGGGAAGAATCATCAACGCGAAATTCTAGTTCGCCGGAGCCGGACTAACCTGCAAATCAACAACTTTTCCATTTTAAAAAACACCTGTGAATGGAGGTAAGGAAGCCACTTCAATTTTGATTAGGTCATCTAATTGATTCAACCGTTAAGCCAACTGACAACGA